ATCTATCTATCTATCTATCTATCTATCTATCTATCTATCTATCTATCCCCCTTTCATTCTCTAGCCACCATCAGTCATCTTGTCACCTAGGGCATGTTAATTTCCACATGTGTGTGCATTTGGGGCAGGGGTGGCTGCTGCTCCCACATGTCCCCCCGTCTGTGTGAGGATCAGGACACTCAGACAGGGGCCAGTGTGTTCGCCAATATTCGTGCCAGTCCTTCCTCGCTAGCCCAAGGCATAGGTGGATTCACAGAGTGCACCAGATCTTGCTCCATCTAGCCCCATGGCTGGCCTCGCCTGCGATGTAAGGGCCCCACAGTGCTGGGTGAGCTGCCCCCAGGAGAGGTGTAGTGTGATGACACCCACCCACCCACTGCAATTTTCTGGCGCCAGCTGTTTGGGCAGTACTCATGGGCGACTTAGGCCATGATTGGAATGGGGCGCTGCATTGCAAGCAGGAAAGAAAGGGTTAACCCCCAGCGGATGCCTCAACCAGGAGTTGTCCCATCTGAGTCTGGTGGGTGCCATGTGCCTCGGCCCCACGCCCACTGGCTGTGTCCTGCAAGCCCACTGGCCACGCCCACCAATGCACACTCTTACTCCCTAGGGTTAAAGCCCGTGGCCTGAAATCCAGCCACGCCCAGCAGATTTGTGGGGTCCAGGGCAACTTGGAAATGTTGGCGCTGACCCAATCCAAGGGAGTGATGAGAGGCGGGGAGTTTCAAAGGTGACAGGGAGAGTTAGGAACACATGACGCCTAATGCCCTGCGGCTTCTTTGAAACACCCACTCCTCAGTCCCACCACACCTGCTGCCCATCCAGAGACACCCATCACGGCTTCAGCTGACTGGGGGTTTGAACCCCAGGCCTTCAGAGCAGAAGCCCTTTGCACTGGAGCTGACGGTGTAGCTCCACCAGGTGGTGGCAATAGCAGGCTATTATCCCATTCCATGGAGCAGCCTCCAGAGAGATACATGCCCCGCGTTAGTATGGGATCCCAGCATTCAAGAAATGTGGGAAGAACAACCATCTCGGGCCAGTAACGTCATAATACGTCTTGGCCCTATGGGAGAAGCTTGACACCCTGGGCTCATTTGCCAGGGAGAACCGTCTACACACCCAGAGCACCCAGGATGCAGCCTATAATTAAGGATATTATTTTGTCATGGAGATCATGGGATTCTGTGACTTTAATGGACCTCCGCAATTTCTTTGGCTTCAGCCCCCTGCCTGGTCCAGTTGCAGGAGTAGTAGTGGGGCTGGAGCAGTGGCCGGCAGTCAGCCACCAGGGCTGGGGCAGAGGCCAGGGCTGAAGCAGTGCCCAGCAATCAGCTACCAGGGCTGGAGCAGTGGCTAGGGCCGGGACTAGAGCAGTAGCTGGAGATGAGTACAGGGCTGGAGCAGCCGTAGGAACTAGGCTGGAGCTGCAGCTGGGGCTATGTCAGCCCCCCAGGGCTGGGTGGGTCCAGGCTGGAGCAGTGGCCGGGGGCTGGAGCAGCGGCCGGGGCTGGAGCAGCCCCCCCTGCAGCAGCAATGGCCGGGCTGGAGCAGCGGCCAGCGCCCCTGATAGTCCCCTCCCAGTATTTTTAGTAAAAGTCAGGGACAGGTCGTGGGCTTCTGTGAATTTTTGTTTATTGCCAGTGACCTGTCCCTGACTTTTACTAAAAATACCCATGACAAAACCTTAACCTTACCTATCATTAAAGGGCTGACCTCCGGGAGTTCCAACCCAGCAATCATGTTCTCTTGTTATTACCCAGCTCCGAATCAAAACTCCCAGCCCGCTGGCAAGGGCCCTATAAGGTGGTACGCTCAGTGGAGCAGGTGAGTTATGAAATCCAACAACCAGACAAGTGACAGACACAACAAATCTACCACGTGAATCTTTTAAAACCATGGAAAGCCCAAGAAAGTCTACTAATAGGCCCCTACGCACCTGAACACCAATAGCCCCCTACACACCTGAACCCCTATTAGGCTTGCAGGTTGTCGAAGACTCGGAGCCAGGGATGGTCAAGACTGGAAACACCCTCACCCCAAACCAGAGAAGCCAGGCTCCACAGGTGATCACCACTTTCTCTTCCATGTTTTCTACCTACCCTGGATGAACCCATTTAATAACCCATAACAGTCAGTCAGAACCGGGGCTTAAAGTCAGAGAAAACCCTCGACCATTTCCCCCAAAGTTGAGGGAAACCATGAAGCAAGAACTCCAATCAGTGCTAAAACTGGGAGTAATCAAAGAATCATGCAGCAACTGGAAAAGCCCCGTAATGTTGCTCCTCAGGACTGATGGGACCACCTGGTCATGTATCAATTTCCAGAAGGTCAATGCAGTCTCAAAATTTGATGCATACCTGATGCTATGTGTTGATCAACTTCTCGACCAGCAAGGGGAAGCGGAGTACATCACTACTCTCGATCTGACAAAGGGATATTGGCAGAACCCCGTCACAGAATCCAGGGAAAAGACAGCTTTTTCCATCCCCTTTCAGTTCCGGACAATGCCCTTTGGGTTGCATGGGGCTCCGGAAACATTCCAGCGGCTAGCGGACTGGATCTTCCAATCCCATAGCCAATATGCTGCCGCATACCTAGACGACGTCACAGGTATCTACAGTCAAAACTGGCAGGACCACCTAAAGCATGTGACAGCCATGTTACAATCCCTCCAGGAGGCTGGCCTGACAGCAAATCCTGCTGAATGTCACTTGAGCAAGGATGAAACAACCTGCCTCAGGTACACTTTAGGAAAAGGTACGGTGCGACCCTTGGTCAATAAGGTCCAGGCCCTCCGGACGTGCCATGCCGCTTCCTTGAGGAAACAGGTACACCAGTTTTTAGGAGTAGCTTGGTACTACTGCCGATTTATTCTGGTTTTCTCAACCATTGTGGTCCCTCTCACTTATCTGCTCAAGAACGGCAGCCCAAACACGATCCAGTGAAACAAAGCTTGTGAGGAGGCTTTTCAAGCCCTGAAGGACCCGTCTTGTACAGCCCCGATTTCTCCAAGGAGTTCCTGCTACAGACCGATGCATCGGATGTGGGTCTAGGAGCCGTTTTGTCCCCGGTGGTGTGAGGTGGTGACCCTCTTGCCAAATTCCAAGTCTCCCGGAGTAGTAGGGGGTTAGGGAAGCAGCACAGTCTCTTAAGGATTGTACACTGAATGCCGCTGTATCCAGTGCTGTGGTGTTGCCCCACGGTGTTAAGCCGGCCATTATCTGCATCAGGCCCCATCGGGTTAAATAATTATCGGGGTTTTCATTGGGCTCTTGGGTTGTGGCTACAGCTTGTACTATAAAATTGCGCCTGCCTATTTGCTCTCCAAAATGTCCCATTAGAGTCAATATGCTATTGTTCTCGTCAACTCTAATCCTATCTAGGGCCCTCCGAATCTCTGAAGCCGCACAGATGCCCATCAAGCGGCGGACTTCAGTGGTGTTCAGCTCTTCCCTTATAGTGAGCAAAAACGCATTACAACACCATCTGGAGAAATTGTCCTTTTTTAGGGGTCCCAAACTATCAGCCATGGCTTTTAAGTCGGCGGCTGATACAGGGACAGTGGTGACAGTTGTACTTCCCCCTCCCTCTGCAGGTGTTGTGACTGTAGTTCGTCGTATGGCTGCGATAGGGTTTTGTTCGATAGGTTTCAATCCCTGGGGCTCATCCCATATATCTCCATTCCAAGCTTCACTAGGGTCCCATTTTCCCTCCCATTCGGGGACCTCACTATCTTGGGCTTGGCCCCATTCTCTTGTCATCACAGCTGCTACTTGGCGGGTAGCAAACCCCAATTTTGTTTTAAGATGCTTAATAATAGATTCACAGTGGTTGTGATTGGCAGGGGCTCTACCTTGTTCTAATGTTAATTTCTTTATCATTCCCTGTAAAACCTGATTCTCTTTTTGTATTTTATCTTTTTCCTCCATTCGTTCAGATAATCCCCTCTCTTCTATTTTAACTTCTCTTAGGGTATCTTTGAGAATGTCTAACTGGCTTTGAACTCCAGTGGCCAGTATTTTCCATTTATCAGTTTCTCCTTCAGATACATCAAGTTTCTCATGCAGTGCAGCATTCTCCTCCTGGTGGCTAGCCAAGCGAAGGAATGCCTCATTGCATGCTTCCCACAATAGCCAGATTGCAGCCGAGTCTCTTTTATTCGGGGTCGATGGCCTATAGACCAACAGATATTTTGCCAATCTATCTTCCAAATCAGCTATAGTATGAACATCGGCTAATGCTTGTTCAGTCCATGGGCTGTGCCCAAACTTTTACAAAATTGTCTTAAAAGGAGTGATTTCCTGTAGGAATGGTAATTTTTTCTGCTCTTCTTGAGCTTTGTCCTTAGGGGACTCCTTTCGCCTAAACATATTTCTTTATAAATCTCTTTTACCTTTATAACACTTCTGTGCCCAGGCTGGTGCTGGGACTTACACAACACAAATGTCTATACCCACTAAAAGCTCTACCTGACAGAGCAGGAGGGGGAACGCTAAGCCCCCTACCTTTTGGGCTTGATCCTGCTATGACTGAGGGTATATTCACCTATACAATTTTTCCCTGACAGACGGGTAGGAGCGAGGACTCTAATCCTCCCCCTTATGGCCCAGCACCTCTACAACCGGGGGTGTATATACCTGGACAGTTTGTATATATCTTATCTGTATAGTTTTCCCCGACTGACGGGTTGGAGTGAGGACTCTAATCCTCCCCCTATTGCCCGGCACCTCTACGACCGGGGGTGTGCATACCTGAATGATCCATCACTTTATACGAATGGTATAACCTTTTAGCAATATTTAGCAGTATTTTCAACAATCACAGTGCATGTCTTCCCCCTTTTGCAATTCTCCACCAAAAATGTTATGCTTATAGGAAGCACACGGGATCTTTTTCAGGGGAAAAGGCAATACACCGCATTTATTGAAGATACAACAATTAGCATATGCATTCAATCACACCACACACACACACACTGTCCCGCCAGTCGATGTGATAGTTACCAGTCCAGAGTCCGGATCAAGCTAGTGGCCAGCTAGGTTGATCACAAGTGGGGAGGAGCTGGGTTCCGTCTGTCGCGACATGATGCTCTAGGGAGTCTTGGCAGGATGAACCCAAAGTTTCATGGCAAGGCACCCTGTTTATATAGTGATTTTCATTCATTGGGACCAATGAGTTTTGCACCGTCATGCTGTAATCAATTGTTGTTTGACGAGTGCTTGTTTTCTTAAATTGTCCTTCTCATTCTTTACATCATGTTCCTCAGGGAGTTATTCCATGCTGGTTTTGATCACAGCTATCTTGTCCCCATTGATAGGTGCCTGTCTCATCTTTAGAGTCGTCAATCTGCTCTGCGATGCTTCAATAGGGGCGTGTTGCAGCCTCCTGGTGCCCTTGCGTCTGTCTCCGGCTCCTCCCTAGACCATCCGGTTCAGCAACGGCCTTCACACTTATCTCTTAACCCACACATTCCTCATTCACACACAAAACAAAATTAATGTACGCAGAACATTTTGAACAGGAACATCAAATTGCAATGCCAAAAAAAAACAAAAAAACCCCAAAAAAAACAAAAAAAAAGGAATGATCATGGCATTCCTTTACTTATTTTAAAATGCTAAACCTACAACAAATTGGTGACCCTCAAAGGATCTGTTACTGCCTTGAAATCAGTCCAGACACAGATTCTGGCTGATGGCCCATTAGGCCATTCCTTTCTGCTATTCAAAAAGGGTGGCTGGCAGAATATGATCAAATCATACACCAATACATTTAATACATACTATATTATTATTCTTTATCCTTCATTCTAAATGATATAAAATACAAACATAAAATCCTACTACTACATCAGCAGCTGCTGCTCTCCTGCCCTCTCCTTATGCAGCCCAGGGGGTGCCTGGGGCAGAGGAGCAGCCGTCCCGTGGGGGAGCGAGCAGCAATGCCAGCTGCTTTGTGCATCCAGGTGGGTCAGTTTCCCCACATGGGTGCAGGAGGGGGATGCAGGGGTTAGGGGTGCAGGAGGTAGGAGTGCAGGGGTTAGGGGCACAAGATAGAGGTGCAGGGGTTGGGGTGAAGAGGGCACAGTGCAGGGGTTAGGGAAACAGGTGAGGAATGCAGGGGTCGGGGTGAGGGGAGCATGCACAGTGCAGGGATTAGGGGCGCAGAAGGAAAGTGCAGGGATTGGGGTGAAGGTGGCACATTACAGGGGTTGGGGGAAGGGAGGGTGGGGAGCCTGGGGAGCCCATGGGGGACCAGGGGCAATGGGGGGGCACCATGCCGATGGGAGCCAGGAGCACCAAAATGCAAGTTTGCCCAGGGTGCCATTTTCCCTAAGGCTGGCCCTGTCTACAGCCATTGGTGTTGGCATCTGTCGGCTTTAAATACAATACCACTCTTAGCATGCGTTTATAAGGGGAAAGCTGTGCTTGCACAAATGGAAATAACACGGTGTTCATCCGAGCCCAGACGGTTTAATTTTCACTTGCTAAAGAGAAAATAATTTCCACTGCACCCTCTTTGCTTAGGGGAATGAGCGACCTTGAAGTCCAGGATCCTGTTTCACGGCTTGCCTTGAGAATTTGATTGCTTAGAAACATCTGTAAGGTATTCCTTTAGCACAGCCAGCCGGCAGCTGTAACACCTGCTGCTAGCAGGCCAAACGTTTCTGAACTGGCATGCCATTTCACTTCATGCACTGTCACTTTTTCCATGCAAACAGGGAGGGAAAAGGTCTGTTTCTTTGGAGGAAATGTTCCCAGACTGCCAGTAGATAACAGACATGCAAGGTGGGTGAGATAATATCTTTTATTGGAGCAACTTCTGTTGGTGAAAGAGACGAGCAAAACTTGTCTCTGTTGTCTCTTTCATCAGCAGAAGTTGGTCCAATAAAAGATATTATCTCACCCACCTTGTCTCTCTGATATCCTGGGACCGACACAACTCCAGCAACACCGCAAACAGTAGATAGCAGGGGAGTTAATAGAAATAACTTAAAAAACAACCCAAACTCCCAACCATAAAGGGAAAATTATTTCAGTGTCTAAACATGGAGAAACATCCCAAGCGAATTTTTTTCTTGGCTCTCTTCCAGAATTTCAGCATTTCTACACTGCTATAGGGTGCTTGGGGAGCTGGCATTCCCAATTGAAATCATGGGCTCTGTGTCAATAAACGGGACTCAAGAGTCCTGCATTTGCTCCAGTAAAAATTGCTGATCTCTGATCTGCTAAGAGAGATCTTCCAAGAAGTGTGTGGCTTTTCCAAACATTGATGTGTTGCTTTGTTCTTAATGGGGTGGTGTCTAGAGAAGCATCGGACCAGATTTGATTTCTGAAACACATGTTTTTGCAGGAGGAAAAAATAATATTTTGAAGAAAATTTTTTGGTTAAAAAAGTCTCAGATGGAATTTCCATGTTGGTAGAAAATTATAAACAGCTGCCCACCTTGGCATGAGCTGTCCACTTCGGATAGTGGGTTTACCGACAATATTACATGTTGGTGGTTAAAAACAATGCTTTTAATTAGATTATTTTCAATTTTTTACGCAACCTGGGGGGTTTCACCCACCCAAACACCCAAGCATAGGGGCTCTGCCCCATCCACCCCAGTGGGGGCTCTGCCCCTCATCCATGGGTCCCACCAGAAGACTTACAAACCCAGCATCTGCACCTCCTGGGTCTTTCTCCACAAGGGCTCAGTCCCCAGGTGCTCCTACTCCACCCGTGGGTGAAGGGAGGGAGTCGTCGGGTAAGCAGCTATTTCCCTTCTCATCCCTTGTCTCCTTGGCTTCCCCATAGTTCATCAGCTCCTGTCCAGCCCTGAGGCCAGGAAGAGCCGCCCTGCCAGATGCTGGGAGCCTGTCGCCCACACTCCAGCGCTGCCCTGCTCTCAGCCGTCCTCCTCCTGCACGTTCAGGCTGCAGTGGCCAGTAAGGAGGCTGTGACAAACTGGGACTGTTCTTAATGTGGTCTTTAAATGCTGAGTGGGGAGTGTTGGCCGGGGAAGGTTGCAGGGGAGTTTGGCTGGGACAGTCTGCATTGGGGGATGGGATACTGGCCTTGAGGGAGGATACCTGAGCACGTAACATGAGAACCCAGGAAGGGGGTTGGAGGCCAGATGACACCTCTGCCCGGGAAACTGGACAAAGGCTGGGGGAGGAGCTGGGAAGAGGCTGAGTGAGAGACGCTGGAGGGAGTGAGGTTTTTGGAGCTGGCTGGTGAAATGGAGGGGAGCCCAGACGGGACTCTGACACCCCCCCCCCCGCAACGGGGCTGTGGTGTCCTTGGGGCCCCTAGCTGGACCAAACTAAGGGGCCCCTGTTGTCTGTACCTGCAAGACCTGTCTTGGACCGTGTTCCTGTCATCTAAATAAACCTTCTGCTTTACTGGCTGGCTGAGAGTCATGGTGAATCGCAGGAAGCTGGGGGTGCAGGGCCTTGTCTCCCTGCACACTTCGTGACAGAGGCTCTGTCCTTAATGGTGCTGGGTGGTCATGGGGCCCCAGCCGGCTCTCACGTATGGCGGAAACAGTCTGGGGTGACTGCCCTGGTAATGCACTGGGCTCGGGGGTGAGAGCGCAGGATCTAGCCCTCACTCATACACACAGTAACGTGTGACAAATGGAGTCACTGTCCATCCCCCCACATCTATCCCCTCCCATCCATCCCCCCACATCCATCCCCATACACACCCCTCTATCCATCCCCCCACATCCATCCCCATACACACCCCTCCATCCATCCCCCCATAACCATCCCCATACACACCCCTCCATCCATCCCCCCACATCCATCCCCACATACACCCCATACACACCCCTCCATCCATCCCCACCCCACCCCATCCATCCATCTATCCATCCATCCATCCCAATAAACACTCCTTCATCCATCCATCCCCCACATCCATCCATCCATCCATCCATTCCCATATACACCCCTCCATCTATCCCATCCTTTCTTCCATCCAACCTCCCACATCCTTCCCTCCATCCCGATACACACCCCTCCATCCATTCATTACATCCAGGCCTCCCCATACACACGCTCCTCCATGCATCCATCCATCCATCATTTATCCCCACACCCCTCCATACTTCTCTATATACACCCCTCCATCCTTCTCCATATACACTCCTCCTCCATACATCTGTCCTCTCCCCAATCCATCAATATATACCTCTTCCATCCATCTCCCCCATTCATCCATCCCTATACACATGCCTCCACCCTTCCCTCCCCCACCCCCGCTCACAGCTCTCTCTGAGCCCCTCTCTCCAGGATCCGCTGGGGTCTCCGGGCTGGGTGGTGGGGCTGGGGGCTGGGCTGTGTGAGAGGCGAAGCTGCTTCCCACCACTCCCCTCTGACCCCAGGCTTGTCTCTCTGCCCCTTTCCCCAGTGAATTTCCAGGTGCTGGTTCCCGCCGGCCCCCTCTTCGCCCCACTGGGGGGCACCGTGCTGCTGCCCTGCCACCTCTCCCCCGCGCTCAGCGCCCAGGCCATGCAGGTGAAATGGAGCCGGCTAGGCCAGGACGTCCATGTGTACCTTCCGGACGGGAGCGAGGTGCAGGGTGAGAGGTACCGGGGCAGGACGGAGCTCCTGCGGGATGGGATCCAGAGAGGCAGCCTGGCCCTGCGGATCTGGAACCTCACCCTGCGGGATGAAGGGCGCTACCTCTGTGACTTCCAGTCCAACAACACCGTTGGCAACGCCACACTGGAGCTCCGTGTGACGAGTGAGTGATCCTGGGGTGGGGAGAGGCCGGATTCAGCCTGCGCGGCTCTGGGGCAGGGAGGGATGGCCTGGGGGGGACCATCCCATAAAGCCTGCTGCAGTCACAGACCAGAAAATCTCCCCCAGTGACTCCTCCGTCCAGCCCAGCTGGCTGAGCCAAAGCAGAGCCTGTGGGGCAGAGACGCCCAGACTGCATATAAAGACCCCGAGCATGTGGGCTCCCCAGGAGCCCTGTGACAGATTTTTGTTACCAATCTGACCGGGGCCACAGTTGATCAGGCTGGGGCCACAGGATCTTTTTGGGGAGGAGATGATGAGGCACACCAAGTGTCTAAATTTTAAAGCTTTATTAATAAAATAATAAAATAACAGCAGAGAGTGCTGGGAACGCTCCCACGTCACTCAGGGGAAGAAAGAAAGCATTAATGCCTCAAGCCGTAACCCACTTTCATGCCCACACACGCACGACCCAGACAGGCCAAGTCTGGGTGTAACGTCAGAAGAAGGGTGGGGGAGAGGTGGACGGGAGTGCTGTCCTGGGCCCAGGCCGTCCAAGGATCTGCTTTGCTCTCCAAATTGCTCCAGCTCTCAGGAGGGTTTTAAGTCCTGGCTCCTCGGTGGTGTTCCATTCCGCGACCTCCGTTCCTGGGGCTCTTTCATAGAATCATAGAATCATAGAATATCAGGGTTGGAAGGGACCTCAGGAGGTCATCTAGTCCAACCCCCTGCTCAAAGCAGGACCAATTCCCAACTAAATCATCCCAGCCAGGGCTTTGTCAAGCCTGACCTTTAAAACCTCTAAGGAAGGACATTCCACCACCTTCCTAGGTAACCCATTCCAGTGCTTCACCACCCTCCTAGTGAAATAGTGTTTCCTAATATCCAACCTAAACCTCCCCCACTGCAACTTGAGACCATTACTCGTTGTTCTGTCATCTGGTACCACTGAGAACAGTCTAGAACCATCCTCCTTGGAACCCCCTTTCAGGTAGTTGAAAGCAGCTATCAAATCCCCCCTCATTCTTCTCTTCTGCAGACTAAACAGTCCCAGTTCCCTCAGTCTCTCCTCATAAGTCTTTGTGCCAGTCCAAACCGGCTTTCTGTGGCCTTCTTGGCTGCCCAAAACACTGGCTCTGGAGACTTTGTTTTCCCTCCTGTTGGCCTTCACCGTCACCGCCTCATTCGCTCTTACTGTTCTTACTGCTATCTCTGCAGCTCTGCATCTCATTCGCTCTCACTGTTCTCGCTGCTATTTCTGCAGCTCTGCATCTCATTCTCTCTCACTGTTCTCGCTGCTATCTCTGCAGCTCTGCATCTCATTCTCTCTCCCTGTTCTCGCTGCTATTTCTGCAGCTCTGCTCAACTTAGTTCTCGTCCTCTCACGGCTGGGCATCTGTAGATTTCTCGTCTAGCCCATGACCTTGGGCCAGGGCCAGCGTCTTATCTTCGGACTGAGCTTACTAGCTGCAGTGTTGAGTTAACTTTTTCTCTGGTCTTTTCTTCTTCTTCCCCACTTCTCAACCTCTTGTAACCTACAAAGGAAACTTCCACTCTCCACTCACACACCTTTAACCCTCCCCAAAATGCTTTGCGATGCTTGCAACAGCATTAGCAATATACAGTGCTGATCTACTTTCCCAGGGGACTCCCTAAGGGGAGGGGGCCACTGGGTTGTGACAGCCCGACAGAGCCTCCTTCCATAGAGGATGCCCTGCAATGGCAGATATGTGCCCCCTATTTTCAGTGTCAATGTCTCAGCTCCAGTGCCCAGCCATCAGCTCTCCCCAGCTCTCAGAACCCCACTCTCCGGGGCAGTCCATAAGGGGATCAGGAATGAGGATAGCATGAAATCAAGGGAGAATTCACGTTGATTTCACTCCCCCAGGCTCCGGCTCGGACCCCCTCCTCCATATTGGTGGATATGACGGCAAGCAGATGAACGTGACATGTCTCTCTGTGGGGTGGTACCCGAAGCCAAAGGTGCTCTGGAGAAATGGCCACAGGGAGAGACTGACCCCATCTAAGGAGGAAAAAATCTCCAGAAACCGGGGCCTCTTTGATGTCTCCAGCTCCGTGGTAGTGACTGAGCAGTCGGTCCCAACACTGATTTGTGCCATCAGACCCGGCTCACCTGGCCCGGAGAAAGTCTCAGCCATTCTCATCTCCGGTGAGCTGCTAATGGAACCAGGACACAGACCTGGGTCCAGATTGGCACTGATAGACTGTGAGAACTTTGGGGCAGTGATTGTCTTTTACTGCGTGTCTGTGCAGCACCCGGCATGACGGGGCCCTGATCTCAGTCACCATGTGTCTGTTCAGTGCCCAGCGCGATGGGGCCCTGATCTTGGTCACCGTGTGTCTGTGCAGTGCCAGGCACAATAGGGCCCCGATCTCAGTCACCATGTGTGTTTGTGCAGCACCCAGAGCTATCGGGCCTTGATCTCGATTACCGTTCGTCTGGGCAGCACCCGGCGTCACGGGGCTCTGATCTTGGTCACTGTGTGTCTGTACAGCGCCCAATTTGACGTGGCCCTGATCTTACTTGGGGCTTTTAGGCGCCACTGAAATGAAAAAATGAAATACAATTATATTCACTAGGCCATATTGAAAATGCCACCATTATTTAGTTCTAGGACTCAAATGCCCAAGCAAAACCCCTCTTTGTTGGGCACCCTATTATTCAAGAATTGCCAAAACTCTCAGCCCACATACCTGGGTTCTCCAAAGAGAGGTCCAGTGCGGAAAACCTGAATTCAATATTTCTGAGGTTTGAATGCTTTAAAAACAAAAAGGGAGAAAATAAACAACTTTAAGAAAATAGCACTGAGGGCTTTTTCATGCATCATGAAGGAGACAAAACAGGGCCCATGTCCAATTGTTTTGTTTGTTTATTTGCCTTTGCATGTTGCAGAAGACTAACATGAGGTCTCTTCTTTCTTCCTTTTGCAGATGAGTTTTTCCCCCAAGTCTCCTCTTGGAAGGTTGGCCTCTTCTTGTTCCTGTCAGTGTGTGTTTGCCTCCTCTTCTTGCCTGCCTGCTACTTATGGAGGGTTCAAAGAGCAAAAAGGAAATCCTCCAATTTAACCACAAAGAAGTGATGGATCCTTCGATACAGGGGAAAGGAAATTCCTACATGGGTATCAATTGTTATAAATCAACACACCTGCTTTGCTCCCCCAGCTAGCATTATTTTCATTATATGTATTACAGATACACTTATGAGACCCAACCAAGATCAGGGCCCTGTAATGTCAGATACTGCACAGACACACAGTGACCGAGATCAGAGCCCCATCGCGCCGGGCGCGGCACAGACTCACAGTGACCGAGATCAGAACCCCGTCGCACCGGGCGCTGCACAGACACAAAGTGCCAGATATCAGGGCCCCTTTGTACCGGGCGCTGCCCAGACACATAGTGACCGAGATCAGGGCCCCGTCGCACCGGGCGCTGCACAGACACACTGTCAAGGCTGCTTCCCCACTTTGAACTTTAGGGTACAAATGTGGGGGCCTGCATGAAGACTTCTAAGCTTAACTACCAGCTTAGATCTGGTCCGCTGCCACCATCCCAAAGCTAATTCCCTTCCCTGGGTAGCCTTGAGAGACATTCACCAATTCCCTGGTGAATACAGATCCAAACCCCTTGGATCTTAAAACAAGGAGAAATTAACCATCCCCCCTCCTTCCTTCCACCAACTCCTGGTGAATACAGATCCAACCCCCTTGGATCTTAAAACAAGGAGAAATTAACCATCCCCCCTCCTTCCTTTCACCAACTCCTGGTGAATACAGATCCAACCCCCTTGGATCTAAAAACAAGGAAAAATCAATCAGGTTCTTAAAAAGAAGGCTTTTAATTAAAGAAAAAGGTAAAAATCATCTCTGTAAAATCAGTATGGAAAATAACTTTACAGGGTAATCAAACTTAAAGAGCTCAGAGGACTCCCCTCTAGCCTCAGGTTCAAAATACAGCAAACAGAGATAAACACTCTAGTAAAAGGTACATTTACAAGTTGAGAAAACAAAGATAAAAACTAACATGCCTTGCCTGGCTGTTTACTTACAAGTTTGAAATATGAGAGGCTTGTTTAGAAAGATGTGGAGAGCCTGGATTGATGTCTGGTCCCTCTTAGTCCCAAGAGCGAACAACAACCAAAACAAAGAGCACAAACAAAAGCCTTTCCCCCCCCAAGATTTGAAAGTATCTTGTCCCCTTATTGGTCCTTTGGGTCAGGTGTCAGCCAGGTTACCCGAGCTTCTTAACCCTTTACAGGTAAAAGGATTTTGGAGTCTCTGGCCAGGAGGGATTTTATAGTACTGTACACAGGAGAGCTGTTACCCTTCCCTTTATAGTTATGACACACACAGTGACTGAGATCTGGGCCCCATCATGCTGGGCACTGCACACACACAGTGTTAAGTTGTCCAAGGTAACAGATGTCCAACTCAGCCAACTACATACAATTATTTATGAAAGGCAGGAAAATTAAAGGCAGACTGAATTAGTCCAAACACAATGGCCAACCAATACCACCCAAGGAGTGTGCTGAGAGCGTGCCTGGTAAATAAGAGGAGAATGGAACCAGGAAGGAATGGAGCAAAACAGGCTTGTTGGAAATTTGGCTTAATTGGTGGACAAAATAATGAGGGGAGGGGCTGTTCCCCCCATCATTCTCTTTTAGGGTCCTGAAAAAGAGCCTTTGGTGGGGAGTCACAATGGTGGAAGCTGAGTGGACTGGAAGGAGTCAGGCCTACCAACATGTCTGCCACCCCCACCGTCTCCTGGGAGTCCGGGATCTACCATTACACTGTGGGGCCCGCACCGTCCTGATCCTCAGTGCGGTCCAGCCAGATTGACCCAGACGACACTACCACCTCCACTGGCTTTGGCTAAATCCTGAAGAGCATCTGGGACATGAGACTTGGGTCTTCGCTGCCACCTGGCCCCCCGTGTGTCCTTTTCCTTCCTTCCTTCCTTATTATTTCTCTGTCCTATTCCTCTCCTTTTGCCTTCTGTTTAATGAGAGTCTGGCTTAGTTGCCCAAGACTGTATATTTTGCAATGCTGCTGTGAGCCCATGACCAGAGAGGCAGCTAAAAGCAATGCCCTAAACTGGCCCAAGGTCTCGGAGTGGCTGATGGGACCATGTGCTGGGCCTGTGTTTCTCCAACAGTGAGTTTGTGAGTGCGAGTTAACGCTAGAGACAGAAGCTGCATTTTCTCTCTCGGCTGTTCTTTCCTTTCCTGTCTTGAGTGTGTTTGTCTTGTTTTGTCTTAAAGGAAGCAGGAGCAGATTCTAGCAACAACAGCTTCAGCCCATCTCAGCTCAACTTTTGTCTATTCCCGCAAATGGACACTTTAATACCCTCTGTAATACCAGCCGAAGGATTGTCAAACGGCCAGAACTCTCTCCAGTGAAAGGGAAAGGGGACAAGGGATGTTGTTACAACAAAAATCTCCCTTAATAGTTCACATTTCAAAGGCTGGATCATTTTCCCTTCTTTTCCTGTCTCTTTAATAAAAGGTTACACTGATTTTTAAGGGTGGTCGTTGCCATGGGACTAAGCAGGCCGAGGTCTCTGCCCTCAGAGCCCTGGCCTGTGTTGAACTGTTTCGTGTTGGACAGTGGCAGGGTCATGCTAACACCTTGGAATCTCTGGCCCCATTTCTTCCATCGAAATTAGCACAGACATGTGGGAACTGAGGCTATGTCTACACTACCGCGGTAAGTCGACCTAGGCGACGCAACTCCAGCTACATGAATAACATAGCTGGAGTCAACGTACCGTAGGTCGAGTTACCACAGGGTCTACACTGCGGGGGGTTGACGGGAGAAACTCTCCCGTCGACTTACCTTACTCTTCTTGTCGGGGGTAGAGTACAGGGGTCGACTGAAGAGCGATCTGCTGTCGATTTGGGGGGTCTTTACTAGACCTGTTAAATCAACCTCCAGTGGATCGATCTCAGAGCATCTATCCCAGCCGTAGTGTAGACCTGCCCTCAGATATAGGCCCCTTTGGCAAGCGCAGTGTCATGGAATAGTGCCCCCTTGTGGACTTTCCCAGCATCCTGACCCAGCCGCGGTTACAGTAGAACCTCAGAATTAAGAACACCTCGGGAACGGAGGTTGTTCATAACTCTGAAATGTTCGTAACTCTGAACAAAACGTTACGGTTCTTTCAAAAGTTTACAACTGAACATTGGCTTAATTGAAGGGTTAAAATCCATGTGCATATTATATAACAACCTGGTATATGAATTATGCCAGCTCTTTTCCAGACCCAAAGTCCAGAGTTTGGTCTGGAGACCAGAGGCCTAGCTAATAGTGATCAGCTAAGAGAAAGCTGGGGTAAACAAAATAACATTGCCTTTGCTAAGATATGCTTGGTCAGTAGAAATGC